CTGCCCCTCCTAAAGAGCCCAGCTCCACCGAGCTTGAACAGCTTAGGGAGAAGTACACCAAAGCAAAGCAAGACCAAGTTTTTGCATTTTACGATACCCTCGAAGTTGCAGAGAAAGCTGCTCTCTATGAACAGCTTTCCAATTTCGATCCTGAATATATCAACAAAATCACCGATGCAGCTCTCAACCCACCCAAAACCCAAGATGCCGACAAAGAAACGGGTCTCGAGCCACTCCCTGAATCTGCGACTGCCAGTATCCTCGATTCAAAGGCTGAAGATATTGAGAAGTGGTATGAGACGGGTTTGGATTTGATCGCTGAAAACAAGGTTGCAGTGGTACTTATGGCTGGTGGCCAAGGAACCCGTTTAGGAAGTTCAGCTCCAAAGGGTTGCTTCAATATTGGTCTACCTTCCGAAAAATCCCTTTTCCAAATACAGGCAGAACGTATTCGCAGAGTTCAGAGATTGGCACATAAGAAGGCTGGTTATGCAGCGGATAAAAAGGTGATCGTTCCGTGGTATGTGATGACCAGTGGACCAACTCGAGGACCTACCGCAGACTACTTTGAGGAAAATAAATACTTTGGTTTGGAAAAGGAGAATGTTATTATCTTCGAACAGGGTGTTCTCCCTTGCATTTCGAATGATGGCAAAATTCTTTTGGAGAGTAAGGGTAGGGTTGCTGTTGCACCAGATGGAAACGGTGGTATCTACCAAGCCATCGTCACATCAAATGTCATGTCTGACATGACAAACCGGGGTATCCAACACATTCACGCTTACTGCGTAGACAACTGTCTCGTCAAGGTAGCAGATCCAGTATTCATTGGATTTTCAGCTTCTAAAGATGTGGACATTGCTACAAAGGTTGTGCGAAAGAGAGATGCTACCGAATCTGTTGGTCTGATTCTTCTCAAGAATGGCAAGCCAGATGTTGTTGAATATTCTGAAATCGACAAGGAGACTGCTGAAGCTAAAGATGCCAAGCAACCAGATGTCTTGAAGTTCAGAGCAGCAAACATCGTTAACCACTATTACTCTTTCCGATTCATTGAATCGATCCCTCAATGGGCACACAAGTTACCTCACCATGTTGCAAGAAAGAAGATTCCTTATGTGGATACTGAGAAAGGTACAACTGTCAAACCTGAGAAGCCAAACGGTATCAAGCTTGAGCAATTTGTTTTCGATGTTTTCCCAATGTTGGAGCTTAACAAGTTCGCGTGTATGGAAGTCAAACGTGAGGATGAGTTCTCACCACTGAAGAACGCGAGAGGTACTGGTGAAGATGATCCAGATACTAGTAAGAAACATATTATGGATCAAGGAAAGCGATGGGTACAAGCTGCAGGTGCTACTGTTGTCGGTGAAAATACCGACGATGGTATCGAAATTTCTCCATTGATCAGTTACGTAAGTCAACCATTCTTTTGTCCCATGCCGCTCGATTCAATAAGGCTAACATGTTTATAGGGTGGAGAAGGATTGGAGAAGTTGAAGGGACAGACCATCACTGCCCCAGCTGTTTTGGAGAAGGAGCTGTCATAAGTAACTTAAAAAGGACAAGCAGATGAACAATTTAGGAACTTTTTGGTTTGGCTATAAGCTCTGATAGCAATATTATCATTCAATACAAGCGAGACATTTCGAAGCGAAGTGGATAACTAAAAGTACCAATACAACATATCAATAACACCAGAATATCTACCGTGATTTTGGTGACTGTCCAATACTTCCCATATCCATATCCGAGGAGAACATTGAATCTGCGATCTCAGCCCCTGAGGTGAGAATCAGCTAAGACTTTTAGAACAAAGAAATACTTCTAGTGTGTATCCTAAGCCTCCATTGCTGAACTAAAAGGATAAGCCTTGCTCCATGACAACATTTTGCCTCCACACATCTTATGAAGGGTTTCTAGAAGATTTCTTGTCTAGTGGACATGCATTCATCAACAGCCAGCAACCGTAAGCGTGGAAAAACTACCGGTTATAAGGGAAGTCCAGATGATCAACCCCGCCATTATTATTGGTAATGAGTGGCTGAAGAAGTCGGATCTATCCATCCGTCGCTCATCTCCACATCACGTGTTGAAATTACACGATGTACCGTGTGTATGGATGCTGGTAAGAGAAGTGCATGAAGTGGAGATGGAAAACTGGGAAAAAGTGGTGGAGGCATCGTACTACTGGATATGCTTAAATTTTCCTCCGTCTTACCTTTAAATTAATTAGACTATCTGACTTTTATCTTACATCACTTTCTTGATCAAAAATCAGAGGGAAACATACGGATGGGTGTGAAAACTGGGTTTTACATACCTACGGTTATATCCAGCCAGCCATCTGTCAATCACGCATGATGGGAAGGGAAGAGAGACAATTGATGGTTACAGTTATGATTTGTTAGTTCGTGCTATTCGACATCTATATCGAATCATCGTCTTTACCCACCTAGATGCCGGTACGATATACTCATAGAAAAACATCAATAAGAAGCCCGGTAATACCGATTCAAAAACTAAATGACATCTGCCAAGCCACCTCGTGGCAGTGCCAGGCAGCGCGCCCAAAGATGTGAAATGGCAAAGAGAGGTGTGAAATGTGAATGTGACGGAGGAGAAACTAACAGATGAGGCGAATCATAAGGCGAATCTTGGCTATGCTACGGATCGGAATCGGGAACCCGCTCTTTCGCGGTGGTCATTAGTCGGAGAAAGGGTACCGGTACCACCCAATAGGCAAGTTCGGAGAATAGTTATCAATGATGGACGAAGTATGTATATATTAACTGACTTCCCCCCGGACGCAATTCGCTTGAGATTTGAGATTTTTCTAGTTGCAAGTCAAGTTCGCAAACACATCAGCATCACACCCATATACCGTGAAACAAAGCGCATTTTTGGAAACTTTTAAAGTTTGAGTCGCATACTCATTTTCTATCGGTGGATTTGGTGTTTACATTTACATCAATATTATCGAATTCATCTGATTCAACGGGGAAGAATAATACTTTGACTACCTATTTCTTTCTTTCACCCTTCACGTATCTATCGCATTACGATAAAATAGAACTCTCCATCAATCAATCAATCAATCAATCATTACAACAAACACTAATAAACATCTTCACCTACCTAATCAACCATGAGGACGAATCTCTGGACCGTAGCCCTGCTACTCTTCTCTTCCACCCCCTCGTTTGCGCATCCGCAATACATCCCCTCCGCTGAACTGACCACACGCGATGCAAACGCAGAACCTGCAGTCAAAGCCGAAGAATTCACATACTATTCGCGCGAGGAGAAACGAGGTGGCGATTTATTCAAACGCAAGGGCGGAGGAGGCGGTGGCGGGAAAGGAGGAAGTGGAAGTTCGAGTAGTGGCAGTAGTAGCAGTGGAAGCAGTTCTTCTTCAAGGTACGTTAATGGAATTGTTCTTCTTTCTGATTCCGAGATTATGGAATGGATGCTGTGAGGCGAAGTGATGCGAAAGAATCTTGAGGAGGGGAATTGAGAGACATCTCGGGTGTTGGGGGTAAAGCACTGAGTTTCAGTGTTTGGGCGGAATGTACTGGATTGAATTCAAGAGAATCAAGCTCTAACATGGTATTACAATAGTTCTGGCTCTTCTTCTGGAAAAGGAGGTGTCACATCCTCTTCCTCTTCGTCGGGTGGCGCTACAAAAGCTGGCTCGGGTCCCGCGCCTGCTTATGGTGGGGGGAGATATGTATGTACCTTTCCCAAAGATTCAAGTATTAATTACTAACCTACAAACAGTATGGCGGAGGAGCAACAACACCATATTCCTCAGGAGCTCGTTCACCTCTTGGAATCGCCCCCGTCTTCCTTGGTTTAGGTGCCCTATCCATCTTCCCCGGTCTCTGGCTCTACGGCGCCTACAGCTATCCATACCACAATTCCTATTCCTTCCGCAACCACTCGGCTACCCGCAACAGTACCAACACTACATCTGCCTCTATTGAAACCCGTCAAGATTCAGACACCACAGGCGCCAACGAGACAAAACCAGTCACATGTCTCTGTGCCGCCTATAGCGAGTGCGGATGCGACGATAGTGGAAACTCGACATTCCTGGATCAAATAATCGGAGATGGAAGTTATGCCGCGTTGAACAAGACGTTGGTTAATGTCGCGGAGGTTAATGGTACATCGACGATTCTTATCAATGGTACGCTGCCTAACGGAACGACCGCGAGTGGTGGGTCGGATTCGGCGGCTGGGAGGACGATAGCAGAGGGTTTAGGCTGGTGGGTTATGATTGCGACGGTCTTCGCCACTTGCTTTGCCATCTGATTTTCTTCCTGAAGAATTGGGGATGAAGAAAAGAAAAATAAGATAAGGGATAAGTCAAGATAACTGGGAATCGTTTTCCCAGAACACTTGCAAGCAAAGCAACATAGAGAAGACACGGGATTTCATTGTATATTTTCAATACGAACACGGGCGGTATCGTTCTACTTTTCTGGCGTTTCAAAAACGATGGGAAGGGAATGGAATGGAATGAAATAAATTGAGAAGATGGGAGGTGAAATTATGACCCCCGATACGTTTGTATTACTAGTACTTATGAAATAATGGTGGTTTGGGGATTAAATCGATGGGATGAGGGATGAGGGATAAATATATCCCTCAATAGAATACAATATGAGGGTAGAGTGAGCAAAGCAGCAAATGCTAGGATAGGAAATAGTCGTTGGATACCTACGTAATACAAATTGTGTGTTTTAATCTCTTAGTCTTATGGGGCGAGTGAAAAATGAATTATTGAATGTTTCGACTCAGGTATGTGTATATAGTGGAAGTAAAGACGCTTCATTTGAAGTTCCGCGACTCTTTAATAGTTTGGTTAAATAATCGGATAGAAGATGAGGTTCAAAATATTGTTTCGCCAGTGTTCTTTTTCGTGAGAAATTTTGGATTCTATAAGTAGGTGCATTTTATTTTATTTTACTCCACCCCATTCTATGTTACACCCATCAAGCCGATTCAGAACTCCTCGCTTTACGTCGTCGTATCAATTCTCCCAACGGTATATCATCTTCATCCACAATATCCGCTTCTTCATCTACCCCATAATCTCTCAATCTATCACCTTCTGAATTTGTCCAGCCTTCTTCTCCGTCAAGTCCCTCTTCATATTCTTCACTTTCATCTTCATTTTCCTCCTCTTCGTCATCTTCTTCATAATATCCATCTCCATTATTGATAGTACCTCCTGTATCATCTTTCTTCCAGCGTTTCAAATCCGCTTCTTGACGCTTTCTAAATGCATCTCGTTCTTCCTCTACACTCCCGTAGACTTTCTCTTCCATCGGGATCGTTTCCACACCCACACATCCCGCTCTCCTTCCCAACTTATCCGGATCCGGAGGCGGCCACATACCCACTCTATCATTGAATCCATTTTCTTCCCACGTCCCCGCACTCTCTACACTTGGGCCCCCTGCAAGTGGATTGAACCACAGAAGTATATTCGCACTCCCCATCGCTTGCACAATATTCTCCCAAATGCCTATATCGAAGGGGAATTCCACTTTGTGCACCCTGACCTTGCGTCCTCCATTCGCATACACATAGCCGCGCATATTTTTCGATTTCGAGCGCTCGATAACGGCATCGTGGCGTTCGATTTCCCAGGCTTCGATCATGTAGATGTTTGTTGTGAGGGAATAGACGGTGCGCAGAAAGAGGAGGGACATGGCGAAGAGGGAGAGCCCGGCGGAGCAGGTAATTATGAAGAGGATAGTGAGGGAGGTGGTTGAGGGGCCGAGGTAGGAGGGGAGGGTACTTTCGGAAATGACGTAGCTAATGCGGATGCAGAGGAAGAAGCCGAGGATGAGGAGGGAAAAGACAGCGTAGAAGAGGAAGCGGACGAAATGGGGGAAGGTGATGTGGGAAACACAGTTGTTGGTCCAGGGACAGTGGTGGTCCATTTTGGGGATGCAGCTAGAGTTTGTTAATTATGATACTTATTCGGAGTTTGGATTCTCAAAAGGTAGAATGAGAGAGGGAGAGGTATACCGTTTACACTGTTTACAATGATGTGCTCTAGCCGGCTTCACCGCATCACATTTCTTACACCATCTCACATTCTCCCACTCTATTTTTTCTAAACCCTCAACCTCCCCAATAACCTTCTCATCCCTCCCGTCCTTCTCCGTTTCCTTCTCAATCTCATTCGCAACTCTATCAACCCAGCCCCTTTCCCCTGGATCAACCGAACAAGTCTTCCAATAACACCATATCATAGCCCACGCACTTGCATTGAATACCACCGTTTCCCCGGTGCTCAGAGACCCGGGCTCGAGATAATGGAACAGTATCTGGGATCCATAAACGAGAAATAGCATGTGGAAATAACAAAATGGTTGTGCGAGATCGGATATCTTATTGATTCGACATTTTGATAGAAGGGAAAGACGCGTTTGCGTCATGGTGAGATGTGGTGTTTACATCAACTGATTTGCTGGTGTTGATGAATATTGACCTTGACATTGATGAATATTCAAACTTTGTAAGCAATATTGGAGAGAGACCCCTAAATTCGTGCATGTACGTACATACGTAGCCTTACAGCCTCGTAGCACCTAAGCTCGGACACCCTAGCATCTTCAAGCCCGAGATTAGATGATCATGTCAGGATGGAAATGACTCTTCATACCTATGCGTAATTGGTCAGCTCGTTAGACATATCACGTGCAGCAGGGATAATTACACGACACAGCGAAACGGACAAATGAATGGGAGTCGGAGCAATGTTGCGCCGTCGGCCCAACTGCAGAACTTCTTCAAGTGTCCTTTTCGCACGTGTAGAAGAGACTAGCGGGAAATTCGAGGGTTGCGAACATGGGAAATCCGTGAGATTATGTCCTCACGTAATGAAAACGAATCCGAAATATCCTTTCCCGTCCGAACAAGCTTTGTAGACAAGGTGCAAGTGCATTGTTTGGTTACTGGGGATGGAGTTCAAAGTGGGCTCTGGAGCTAAGGTTCGTTGTTGGGAGCTGGGACGGAGCAATTGATAGATTGATGGATTGATGATAGGCTGAAGTGGAGTTGAGACGGAGCGATGTGGTTGGTACGGACGTGGTTTTTTTGTCGCCCTTGGGATTGCGATTGGAAATGTCTATGTTTCGATAACTTGCTAGGATTCTAGAGGTTAGATTCTTTTTTCTTGAGATCTAGGCTGGATGACTAGATGTTTATATAGAGATGCCTTTCCGAGTCTGTGTTTTGAAGTATATCATGTTCTGTATAAATCAAGTCAGCTTTATATTGTCTTAGCAAAGTTTTTTTCTATCTATACGTTCTCGCATCACTTGAACGTTCATCTTCCGCTATTGCATTGATCTCCTTGTGTACTCATCACATCACATTTGGTATCTTCAACCATGGACGAATCCATGAAAAGTCCGAACTTGGAGACTTCCACAATCATACCACCAATATCTTCCAACACCAGTGCTTCAGATGTTCCTCACAGTATCCAGGAGAAGCCTGCCGCTACAGATGCCATCGTCGAAGCAAAAATCGAATTCAAACCAACCACAGCCTTCATCCTCGCTTTCTCCTCCATATGCCTCATCACTCTCGCCGCCGCACTTGATGCCACTTCTCTCAGTATTGCTCTGCCAATCATCACTGCGAAACTTGGAGGTTCAGCCATTGAAGCCTTTTGGTCTGGCACATCGTTTTTACTCACTTCTGCGGTATCTCAGCCTGTTATTGCGGGATTAAGTCATGTTTTTGGCAGAAAGGAATTGATACTTGGGTCGGCTGTATTATTTGGTATCGGTAGTATCTTGGCGGCTGTGGCAAAGAATTTCACTTTGATGTATGTGTTGTCTCAAATTGGGCTGAGGAATATTTGCTAATGGTGAAACTTTAACAGGCTGGTGGGTAGAAGTATCCAAGGCATTGGAGGAGGAGGAATCTTGTCTTTGGGTGAGATTCTCATCACAGATTTGGTTCCTCTTTCTGTTAGAGGTGCTTATTTTGGTTATATGGGTATGAGTTCCTTCTTGACATAAGATATTATATCAACTAACTGTATAAACAGGCAGTATTTGGGCTATCGGAAGTGTTGGTGGTCCATTGATGGGTGGTGGTAAGTTTTCTTTCATCCTCTTACACATACTCGTCTAACTTCTTCCTCTAGCTTTCGCGCAAAATGTCTCTTGGAGATGGATCTTCTGGATCAATATCCCAATCATTGTATCCGGAGCGATCGCAATCATTCTATTCCTGAAAATTACACGTACGCCAGGAAATCTATTAGCAAAAGTCAAAAGATTCGATTGGTTTGGTTCCGTCGTCTTCGTTTCTTCAACAATATCCTTCTTGATTCCTATAACATGGGGTGTGTATATCCGATCCAATCTAGAACCTAAATCGCTAACAAGGCTAGGCGGTGTAATGTATGCTTGGGATTCGTGGAGAGTACTCTTCCCTCTCTTAATGGGAGTCGTAGGTTTAATCGGTTTCTCCCTGTATGAAAAGAGACTCTCCGATCGCGCATTCGATTCCGAAGGCGAACTCCTACCGGGAGATAATATCGAGCCCATAATCCGTTTCAGTATCTTCGGTACATGGTCATCGATCTCCATATACTTTCAAACAATGGTTCATGGAATGGTTCTCTGGTCTTTGTTGTATTATCTTCCCTTGTATTATGAGGCTGTTCAGGGATATACACCCATCATCTCCGGCGTAGCCATCTTACCCGAAACCAGTTTCGTTGCTGTAAGTCATACAAGTCCTTTCCCTCCAGTTCCCCAAACTTACTGACACATCCCCAGCCCATGTCAATAGTAGTCGGTGTCCTTGTTGCCAAAACAGGTCGTTACAGATGGGCACTCTGGTCCGGTTGGCTCCTCGCAACTTTCGGTTCCGGACTTCTCTATCTCCTCAAACCATCCACTTCAATTGTGCAATGGGTATTCCTCAATGTTCCCATCTCAATCGGTACAGGAATGTTATTCCCAGCCATGTCACTCGGAAATCAAGCCGCTTCCCGTCCGCAAGATGCAGGCCACGCAGCTGCTTTCTACTCATTTGATCGTGTGTTTGGTCAAGCGATTGGTGTTGCTATCGGAGGTGTTGTGTTTCAAAATCAAATCAAGGAGAAACTTCTCGCTTATCCACTTCTTGCTAGTATGGCAACAGAATACAGTAAAGATGCAACGGCATTGGTGCAATTGATTAAGAATATGGACGAAGGGTTGGAAAAGACTCAGTTGAAAGAAGCATATTCGGATAGTTTGAAAATGATTTGGATTGTCATGTGTGCGTTATGTGGAGCGGCGCTGGTGTCGAGTTTGTTCGTGAAAGGATATAGTTTGGAGGTGGAGCATAAGACGTTGCAGGGGTTGAAGGAGGAGGAGAAGGGGGATATGGAGGCCGCAGGGGAGAATTGAGGGAGTGTGTGGGTTTATGATTTAATGATTTTGGATTTATGCTCTTTAATTTTGGGGAGGGTCTTGGTATGATATGATACACATGGGACGGCATTTGGAATTATAGAGTATAGGTTAAACGGATAGAAGATGATAAGGAAGGGGGACTTGGGCCCCCTTTTCACGAGATCACTCAGACTTTGTAGTAGAATAATATTAATCTCATTTCTCTCAAGTTTTTCAAATATTAACACTAAAAAAGTGTCGATATTTCATGTCATGAGTAGGCGCACAGTATTTGCAGGATTTATCTTAACGCATGATATCAGACAGGATAATGAGGGTCTTCAACATGCGGATTGAAGTGATATACATTACTGTCACTTGGGTGTACAATGCACATCTTAGGAATACCAGAATAGGTATAAATGATCCTAAACATCCTTCCGAAATTTAGCCATCAACTTCCTTTGATGTCAAACCCACATGTAAAGTAAAGAAACCGCTCTAGATAAAACTCTGATTCCACACCATCATAATGTCTCATCACCAACGCCTCGATATCAAATTCAAGTCACACTTATTACTAATTACCATTATGTAGTCTAGAAACTCAATTTGAACATTCAAGCTGAAAGTCGTTACACAGCATATCCCAAGAAATAAATCAAGCCAATCAAGCGAACTTATGTGTTCCACATCAATAGGGGTTTCAGCTACCCCACCACGAAACGTCATCATCTGCATGATTCCCCTCCTTGAAATCCAGCTCTGATGATCCAAATTTCAGGGTTGAAAAATATAACAAGCTCCTCTGCGTACTGTAACGATTTGTTTCTTTTATCATAACATTATACACAAAACACAACGAAATCTTAACACTTCACAAGAAACTCCATTACAGAATTCAAATAGTAAGTTCTAATCTAGAGATATGATCAGGATGTTATCTTTCGGCGAACGCTTTTACGGAGCTCCCACCTTACCCCGCACAAGCCACCTCAACAAAGCGAACACATCTTCTCTTCTTGAGTTCTTGACTGACAGCATCGTCTCTACAGCATTTCCCAAACATATCAAAACTCAAATCAAACAATAGCAATCATGTCTGGCTACGGAAACGAAGGCTACGGTAGTCAACAAGGCGGAGGATATGGAGGTGAAGGTAAGAATTACAACCTTGGATATGGAGACGAGGACTTGAGGACGGAATATGCTGATTCGGATCTGTAGAGAGAAGAGAACATGGCCGCAGAGATGAGGAGAGCTATGGTGGACAGCAGGGTGGTGGATATGGTGGAGAGGGAAGACAAGGCGGCGGATATGGCGGCGAAGGTACGTTCCCCTACTTCCATTCCTTTGCTACTCCATGTACAAATCACAAGCTTACAAATTATCACAGAGAGAAGAGAAGGTCACCAGGGTGGATCAGGCGGACCTGGAGGAGCATTTGGTGGTGGAAACTTTAACGAAGACCGTCGTCAGGGAGGTGGAGAAGCCCAAAGCTATTACGGAGGTGGTGGACAAGGAGGACAAGAGGAAATCCGCCACGGCGGTCGCGATGAGAGATATGGAGGAAGTGGAAACAACCCATATGGAGGTGGTGGAGGATACGGTGCCGATGATGAGGATTTGAAGGGCGCAGCTCATCATGCTCAAGAACATGCCGGTGATTCTGGAGATTCTAGCTTGTTCTCAAATGTCTTGGGTTACTTGGGTCAGAATAAACAAAACATCGGTAACCAGGAGGTTGATGAAGAAGGTATGTCATTTCAACTACACTGCCATTGTCTAGTTCACAAAATCATACTAACAATGTGAAACTAGAAGCTGTAAACTCCCACAAACAATTCTATGGCGGTGGCGGCTCTTCCGGCGGTTCGGCATCTTCATCTAGTATGGGTAGTGCCGCCGCAATGCAAGCACTCAAGATGTTCAACGGTGGTTCATCTGGAAACTCCTCGTCCGGAAACTCTCAAAACGCTTTCGTTGGAATGGCAATGGCACAAGCCAGTAAATTGTTCGATCAACAAAGCGGTCAAGGAAATGTCTCTTCTGATTCTTCTAAGGAAAGCGCGGTTCAGAAAGCTGGTGAAATGGCTCTTAAGATGTATATGAAGAGTCAAGGTGGTGGAAGCTCGGGTGGTATGAGTGGATTGATGGGACTGGCAAGTAAATTCATGTAAGGGAATTGTTCACACGAAAGGTTGTCTAGGTGCTAGGCTGGGAGGATAGTTTATGATATTTTATGATAGCATGGTCTTGATGAATGAAGAAATGAAATACTTAGCAGCCAAAGCGACTTGAAATTTTTCTATCGGGTGTTGTGCGTATGTTGCCAAGGAAACCAGTTTGATTCACATTAGAGGCTTAATAGCCGGCTTAAGGAGTCAAACCAAACGTTTGTCAGAGGTTTCGTTCAGCTATCAGTCTCACAGGAGAGAATGGAGTTGCTTCCATAGCATCCATCGCTACTTGAGCTATCAGAATACAACATACCATAAGAGAGTGAAAAACGTGCTGGGAAAGCCTTGTATATCGAGAAGTGAGGTATCTCGGTAGTATAAAGTGTTCGTACGGTATTGTCGTTTAGTCATTATGAACATGATTCACCAAGAGAAGAAGAAAAAGAAGAAAGATTATTATTGAGATATATTTTCTGTACGCACTGGAATATGTGTCAAACAGTGCAAAATGATCTGGAGCTCTTGACTTTGTTGGCCTCCTTTAGTTCGCGCATTAGACGTTCAAGTTCTAAATGAAATTTCGAATCGACTCCTTTCCGCATTTCATAAAGTCAGATCGATCGATTGATTGGATTGATTGGATTGATTGGATTGATTTGATTGATTTGGATTCTTTGGTCGATGGATTTCTTTTTGGCCCTTTTCGATTGCGTACAACTTTTCTTTGAAGGGGGAAGAGAGGGAGGGGTCTGTGGAGATAATAGGCCCGGCGATCCTCCGGTTACTCTTTTGAATTCACTGGATTTGATTAAAAGGCATGATGGCTGAGTGTTGGCGCTTCTGGGACAACTGGGAATCACCATAATATATTGGAGTATAATAACACTTTGTATCTGCTTGACGCACCACTGCGATGGCATAGACCAATTATTGATATGTGATTGTACCACTCACGAATCATGACCTTCAATAGATGAAGCTACAGATTTGGATTGCTGATGAATAGAATGCGTTGTACTGGAGAAGGAGTTGCTGATACATTTTGTAATTTACCAGGCTCAATCACATGCACTAAGCGAGAGGGGCTTCGCCATATCGTTTCGTGAGGATACTGACATACCTAGGTATACCTCGATTTCCTATGTACTCATCACAAGAATGCTTTAAACGTGTATCAATCTGGAGAACGCAAGATTTGCATAAGACCAAGGTGATCTCAACAGCATTACAAATCTTTGAGCAACTTCGTGTTTCAAATTGACTAGATAAAAATGACCCTATCAAGCTGACAGAATCAAAGCCATATGCACTGCGGATAAGGAATGAACTTCTTTTTGCAAATGACAAACGTATATGGAAGATTGTCATTCGACTTGTGGCTGAAAGCGAAGGACTACTTTCCCAATCCAGCAGGAGACAGCGAGTAATCGAATCTAGTATAGCTACTCTAGATACAATCCTTCCATTATGAAGTTACGAATTCACTACTCCGATCTTATCATCCCGCATTTGACCATCTCCCACTAGCCATATTTAACTTTGAAAAATGTGGCTTTACGCTCATGGTTATGGAAATGATGGGCATTCATGAAGTGAAACGGACGTAAAATCAATAAATATTTCCCTGATCAAGTAGATCTTTTTAACGTTCTGCATGATACCCAAGGAAAAACTCAGCCAACTTCACATCGTAAGTGTTGGATTGAACGTACTGGGCAGTCTGGCGCATCGTCATCACGTGAACTAAATTTGACGCCGGCGCCTAATTCTTAGCGCCTCTCGCAACCTTTTGGAACAAGGAAACCAAGATAAGACTTTCAATTTAAATATCTTCTCGATATTGACGAAAATCCACCTTGACACCCCTCGTGAGAAAGGATGTTTTCCTCTTCCGTTCGAAGAGCTGTTTTAACAGCACCGCCGCTGCCGATAATCCTTCCTGTCCACAATGTCGCACCACGAGCTGCTACTTCTCAAGCCCTTTCATTCCGTTCTCATCAACGAAGATTATCCTCCTCCTCTTCGTCGAAACCTTCCAGTCCGGCAGATGGATCAAAGGGAGTAACGGAGGGACAGGCGGTTCCTGCATCCCCATCACAAGCAAGACCTGATGGCGAGAAGAAAGCTGCAAAAGCGGGGAGAAGAAAGGCAAAGGATGCTTCAACCGGGTCAGCGAACAAAGCCGATGCCATGCACAATCTACCCAGCGTACCTAGTACCAGTCATATTGCGCCGAATCGTGAGTTTGCACACTTCAAAACACTCATAGGAAAGGTTCTAACTTAAATACTGCAGAAATTGCCGCATCCGCATTCTTCTCCCTACACAGACCTATATCCCTCACTATGAACTTCCCTAAAGCCGTGACCGACGAAGCGTTCGCCGCTATCTTTGCTCCACGAACACGATCGAATAAATCGCAAGATGTGATCGCCACCCTATCAAATACACTTCAAACACTCGACTCTGCCGCAGGGTCCCTCAAACAACTTAATATCCAAGATCAATGGAACGAAGAGACAGATGAACTCCGCGCTGGCATCACCGCCGATTCCTATCGCGTTCAACACCTCGACAACGCCAACGAACTACCCCGTTCAATGCTCGCTCGCAAATACACACCCTTTTCCCCTCCTCCCGCGCCCGTCCCCATGAGTACAGAGGAATCTCTTGCAGCCGGCGCAGAAGCCGCCGCTGAACAAGCAGAGGCGCATCTCCCCCAGCAACGTACCTACCACACCCTCCTCGCGATCACCGAATTTACGGATTCAGCCGGTGAAGTAACGTATACAGCCGAAAGCGGCCCCATAGTATCCGAAGATCCACCCAGAAGTTATCTCGAGCGCTCTAGAATGCGTCGTCGGGAGAGAGCGACAATGTGGGCTATTAGTGTGAAGAGACAGCGGAAATTGAAGATGAAGAAACACAAGTACAAGAAGTTGATGCGTCGGACGAGAAATTTGAGACGAAGATTAGATCGTAACTAGTTTTTTTCCTGTTCATTATGCAGAAATGGAGACTATGATTATAATGGATATGTTTCTTTGGCTTGCGCTGGGAGCTTTCAGCTCACTTCTGAAATTTTGGGGCATTTTGAGGAATACATGCGTGCATATTGGGGTATTGGGGTTTCCTCTATGGGGGTAGAATAGGGTTTTCAGTGGGGGTTGGAGACGGCATGAGATGCCACGAATGAGTAGCCAGCTACTGGTTTTGATTTAGCAATAGCATCTCATAGTTTACGAGCGTGGGTGTTTATCACGTAGAAATTCCGCTTTCACAAACGTACCGCTGCTCACTCGCTCGGTAACCCTATTTCCTACACCCCTTTCCATTTCAATGGTAGATTGAATTCTCCTTTTCATATAGCTTATCCTCACTTAGAAAGCCAAGAAACAAATGTACTTATACTATCAATTAATCAAATTAGATTGAACTATGTGTTGAAAACAAAACTTGTATACAAATAAATCATTTCCCCTTCTATCTATGGAGAACCCTCTGCCCTACCCGCCCCTTTCTTTCCCCCAAGACTATAAAACTAGCGATCTCTGTCTTTCTATATCAGAAAACGCTCTCAAGCACAATGCATACGATCAACCCCGTATCCACGCGAACACAGGATTTTGTAGAAACGGCCGCCCCTTAACCTCGCCAAATTGCATGTAAAGAACAATAAGTTCGCTTCATTTCTTCATTCTATCTGCTTTCCATTTACTTCGGTCTCGCTTCTCTTATCTCGCCCCATCAGTCAAAAACCTTTATCACATGATAGCCCTTGCTTCCTCGTTTACCAATCATCTTCGTCTTCTTTTTTAGCATTTCCTTGCATTGCGCTTTGCCTCGCTCGTAAAGCTTCAGCTAGACCACCAGCCAAGCTTGGAGTGGGAGTGCTCCGGCCGCTGTTATTGCCACTTCCATTACTAGAAATACTCATGCCAGAATCACGGGGTGCAGGAGGAGGAGCTGGTTTCCTACCCGCTACTGGGCGTTTGGCAGGTGGTGCAGGCGGAGTAGGCTTAGAGCGAACCGCAGCGCCATTTACACCGTTCATCTTCGGAGGTCCAGGGGGAGGTGGTGGTGTTGGACGAGAGGCGATAGGTGGTGGTGGTGGCGGTGCAACTTCTTCAAGGTAAGCAGTAGGTGCCCAGCCTTGACCACGGACATTCTTGGTAAGCCACCAGCCTGTTTGTTGTTAGTTTAACTGGCATTATCACGTAATAATTGGACGAAACTTACCATTTGTCTCCTTTTGGAGAACAGTCACTATCTCACCCTGCTTGAGAGAGAACTCATTGGCACTCTGTCCAGCAAATTCGTAGAGAACACGGTATTGAGGTTCTTTCGATGCTGGAGCCGGGGGAGGAGCAGGTGGGGCGGGTGGAGGAGGTGGGGGCACAGCTCTCGTAGATTGTGCTGATTGTAAAGAAGGATTCCTTGTATGCACTGGAATTGAGGCGGCAATAGGGTTGGACGCGGGTATCGGCGCAGGTATCGGCCTTGCTGCTGCTGCTGGCGTAGGTACGGGTCCTGCAGCAGCAGGTGAAGGGACTGGCTTGGGTGTTGGTCGGTTTCCGTTCGTCAATTTTGAGGGTCGTCCCCCTGGTCCTCCAGGCTTGATAAGACGCCCCGAGGTGAATGGTTTCGGCGCCACAGGCTTTCCCTTCGGCAGAGGCTTTGATCGCGAATTGGGTGGCTCGCCTGCTTGAGTGTGAATAGTCGCACTTTTGTAATGATCTTGAGCCTGTTGAGAGTCTTTGACCACCTTGATTAACTGCATTTTGTTAGGCTTCTTGGCATACTCGATCGAATCTCCTATTTTAAGATTAAAACCGCCACCAGGCATTGCTCCTTGCATATGTGTAAATAGTTCGGTCTTGAAGACGCAAGTAAGAAGCGGATCCGCTTCCTGTGGTGAGCCTACGCCCAGGGAAAACCAATCATCCCGACAAGTCGATATGCTAACAAATTTGATAGCTCCAAGGGGAATGGCCTTTTCCACAGCAATTTGAACCTGCTTATTTACAAGTTGCTGACTAACTATATAGAACTTCGCCTTCGTCATAATGAAGATGCGAGGACTAAGCTTACTCGACCGACCGAATTTTGTCTCGAGAATCTCACCACGGCAGGAGAAAAGGGTGACTTCGTTAGCTGGCAAATTGATTGAACCGCGTATTTTTGATCCAGGTCCTGTGGTTGCTGCAATTCCGAGGTAATCACCCATGAAACGTCTTGAGCCCAGGAGACTGTATCTTCTCCTCTCTTTGCGCCCTTGTAGAATTTGGTGACCCTTTTCTCTCAACTCCAAAAACTCTTTACCTTCTCTCTTCTTCCTGAACATCCTTTGGATTCGAGTGGCGGCTTCGATTCGGATTTGTAAGAAAGCTCTCCACACACGTTGAATACGGGCAGCCATGTTGTGCCAGTAGCGATCTCGCATGTGTTCTAGGGCGAAGAGAGTTTCAGGTGCCTTGATAAATGCCTTGGTCACACCCATTTGATATTCCTCAACAGGTATATTAGTATCTTTCAGAATTTGCATTGCTCCAGTTTTTGAATCTCCTGTCCATATATAGTCGCCTGCATAAGAAGTTTTAGGAGACAGTAGGTAAAATCGTTCAACGAATTTGTCAAATGTTTGACGATATGCAAATCCGGCACGACGAATACGAACGTTCTCTTGTAGACCAAGGTACTTGACTTGATGCAGCACATTCTTCTCATTGTATTCCGTTGGTGATTTATTTTCGTTAGGCTTGATGGTACGGATATATGATGGCGTTGCCTTCATCAATGTTGCCACTAAATCATTTGCCGAGGCCTTTATCTTATCACCGGCAGATGGAGGCTGTTTTCTGTTGTCTTGATCGACTTGGTGTGGGAATAATTCATGAATGAACTGATTCTTGCTTTGTCCGAACAGGTTGAGTAAGCCCTTGAGAAGTTGATCCTTATTCTTGTCCGTAATTCCCTCTACTGTATAGCTCACATCACCAGCATAATGCTTGACAATGAAATTGCCTTGTCGAGGGGTAAGATGAGGATTTGACATTCCGCTAATTGCTTGCATAAAAGTACGATCACATGCAGCTGGATCGGCATGGGCTGTCTTGGTTGCATCTTTCATAGCGGAAAATATACCGGGTGGTCTTATAGATTCAATCAAATCACAAACAATTTTGTTGTCAAAGTACTTGATTGGCGTCCACTGGATCTGTTCCCGGGCATATTCCTCTTGTTCAGTCTTCAATGTTAGCTGAATGAAGATCTGTTGCAATTTCTCATTGACATAGTTGATACACAACTGCTCGAAACTGTTCTTCTCGAAAATTTCAAAACCATAAATATCGAGAATACCTATCGAGTTCGATGTCGCCGACCGAGCAGTGAGGGATTTGTTGACACGCTCCACGATCCAATCAAAGAGGTTGTTATATATTGCTTTAGCAAGAGCATCCCTCGTGGCTAGCGCTTGAGGAACATTTGCGGGTGATTCGATGACTTCCCCGTTCCGAGGAGTAAGAATTCTAATAGTGATAGCTTGAATAACATGGCCTGCATCGCAATCTAACAGGTATGCCAGGAAGTCAACAACTGATTGATCGACAACTGCAGCATATCCATCTTCATCTTCGCGAAATTGAATATTTCCAGTCCACAAGATAGCAGCTAGCATGCGGAATATCTCATCTTGTTCAGCTTGCGACAAACCGATAATCTTCATGGCATTCAAAGTATCCTGATATTCGGCGAGATCGTCAATTCCATCAACATCAAAGCACCCGGCTTTGCTTGTGTAAAGATACTGCGACGGTTGCTGAATACCATAATTCTCCCTGTATGCTTGCGAAGCCCCTTTTGTAAATTGGTAGAAAATGTGGAAATTCCGCTCGTCCTTGATCTGAGTGACTACTCTCGTCTTCTCGAGAAGGTAATTTGTGATGTCCGCGCCCACCGGTTCTCCTTGCGCATTAAATTGCAGTTGGAGGTATTTTCCGAAACGAGAGGAGTTGTTGTTTCGTAATGTTTTCGCATTACCAAAAGATTCTAGCAATGGATTCGTCGCCAAAACCATGTCTTTAATCTCCTGAATGGATGAGTTACTGCCTCCAGAAACATTGGCTATGTATTGCATGATTCGCTTTGCTGCCTCGGTCTTTCCCGCTCCAGATTCTCCTGAAATGATAACACATTGGTTATCTTTATAACCATTCATATTATAGTAGGCGGATTCGGCAACGGCGAAGACATGAGGTGGCATCTTAGTTATCTGTTAGAAATGCAGGTATTCAATGCGTGAGTTCGGTGTTCACTGACCTCCAGCCGATTCTTGCCTTTGTAACTATCCAAGACTGCATCTGTGTAAATTCCCACTATGAAGCGTTAGATACCTGTACTCGAAGAAGTTGTATCGTACTCACAATCTCGAAAAGGATTGACGGAAACGAGCACATGCCCAATGTATGTCTACATAAAACTGTTAGTACTCGTCCTCCTCGGGAACCCTCCCGTATCCATGTTCGCTCGTCGCGAAGAGAGAGGCCATACATAGATTTCCCTATTATCGAATCTCTTCTTAAGGTTCTCGTTGATTGCTTCATTAGAGACCTTACTGATCAAAGTAAGATCTGACACACCAACTTCCTTCTTCTTGGTTGTATCGAACTGGGCTTTCTGGATATTCGGCTTCCCCGACGGGGCACTCTCTGCGGCAGAGGCATTGTTATTCCCCTTCGGACGACGACTGATACCCTGTTCCAATATTCATTGTTAATTCTGCCAGCTTTTTGAAGGATGCAAGAAGGCCTTTGTTGTTCCATACCATTTTGAAGTTGAGTCGACCCTGGTTATCAACCCCCCTTACAGGCGCAACGGTCCGCGCTGATAACAGTAGATCTCAAGGAATGATAATTAGCACAGCGGGTGTGAAAGAAGCTGCATGCAAGAGCCTATCATGAAAAGACCAGAATCGCACGCTCAATGCACAAATTTTGGCAGTCGGTATATCGTCAAGTGTCAATAATTACTTCGAAATCGTCACTTGTAGATAGATGATCGGCTTCGCTACGAAACGCCCGTTCCAATTAACAAGCGCTAAATCGGAACGGTAAAACTTAAGGCTTTAAACTTCCTAATTAGTGGACTCAGCCTTCTTGACCACGCATTCTTTTTCTTTTCCTTTCGCCGCTTCGAAAACTTACGAAGCATCAACAAAGACTTGAGTTGACATCTGCTTACCTCCGTACACGAAGAAACCTCATTGCTTTACACATCGGAAAGAATAACACTAACCTCAAGCTTTACATGTCATCATGCTGTGATGGAGCACAGATGGAGCCCACGGGGAACGTGGCATTTGTTATAACATTGGCTGCATCGATTTGATCCACTTGGCAAATTATTAATACTTTGATAGACAACCAAAAATAAACATCCATCCATTCAAGTCCTCGGCCAAACAGTGGTCTACATGATATCACTTCAGCAGTCTTTACTCCATACTGCGAGTTCTGCCTGCTATTGTGTAATGTGGCTGTTCCATGCTTGTTGCTCCCAGAGTTCTTCTCTATCTACCCAGCATTGAATGAAAGCTTCTGGCTCTTGCATTGCTACCCTCCAATTGCTCATTTTATTTGTTCCTGCTCTTCATGCGAAGAATCGATCCAGCATATACAAGTGTGTTTGCCGTAAATTTAACTCTCCTTTTTTCGAACTCTAACCCGAGTTTGTGCAATTTAAAATTGTATCATGGCCGCATTGCTCAAGCAACACCATACAATACAGTCTTGCATTTTCATGTAAGATTTGGTACGAACGACGGACATCGATGACCAATTATCTCGGTGAAAACGGCCAGTATTGCAGTCCTTTCCCAATGGGAAGAACCAGCATTGTCTTTAAACCCGTCTGTCCTAAGAGAAGGATTTACAGTACTCTTGGGGTCCAGATATTATCTGTAGCCACGCCAAATATCACCGAATGTTCATTGAGTCACGACCTCCTCAACACACGACTGGCTGCTGAGTATGGCGTTCTTTGGAAAAAAACATTGAGATCTGTATCATTGTCTACGGCGGATAACTGGTGGTGTTCTTACGCTCTATCAACGACAACGTGTTTGGCATTCTAGAACTTTCAGCTCTCTCGCACATGGCAATACGAAGATCGCTGATGCACTCTAGGGATTGGAAAATGCGCCTGTGGTCATGGTGTGTGTTTATGGCCTTTTGCCAATGCCGAGGAATTCACGAGAGAAGATTTTGATCCACTTCAAGTCTCGAATTCAAATCTATATACAGATTTTCTATCGGCACATCGTGTCTCCGTCGTGTGCACCCTTTGTCGGTGAAGCAAGATCTCCGTCTCCTAAGTTATGGTTAATAAAGTCACAGGGAACATACTCTCATCGACGACCCCTAGATGGACGTGCACTTGTTGACGAAATACTGTTTCCAAACCAGTTCTGAAACGACACAAAATGCCGGCTCTCCAACCTCGAATCTGGCAAAATGATTTTGCCAGTTCCATTTATCGGTACAAAGTTACACTTGAGTCGATACTTTTGCCAATTGACTGTTAGAATTTCGATTTTTTTTTTCAATTATGATCTCCTCCGCGAGTACTGCGCCGGTAAGGCATATGACACACTCACTGCATGGCTGGCTTTGGTTTAGTCCTTTGTACTGTGTCTTCTAGTCAGATTCGGATTAATGGTCAATGCTTGATAAGTCCGGGGCAACGAACTAACGTGAAGTGTCAGCCCCTTTGCCAACAATTCTGCTACAGACCTCTCTGAAACCGTTGACATCACGTGAGTTCAGTATTACCCAAGATAAGGTTTCGCATTTTTGGGACCTGCAGGAACGGCGAAATGGCGGGAAAAACGATTATCATTGAGGTAGTTGGACGAACATCGAGGTTCGGACGGCAATTTCACTCCATGACGGTGTATCAATACCAAGGTATTTATACTTATGAACGCTCAGATATCATTTACATTCCAAATCGCACTGTTTCTGACTGTAATATGGACTTCGCCATGGTCACCTTTCTATCCAGCCCTAATTATGGACCCAGACTCGATTAAATGCCTACCCGGAGCCCAGCGTTTAGCTCAACTAGCCATATATGACAGCTTCGTGCGATAATCCTCTATTTGAACCAAATTTCGATATGATGCAAAAATGATTGAGACAAAGATTGATTGTGGTAGACCTGTGGTTGCGAGGTCGACTGACCACATCGTACCAATATCGCCTTACACATACTGGTTTAGTATGTGAACGATGTATGAACGATGTCACCACAAAATCAAGTTCCATAGTTTGCCCGTCCTGCACACCCATCCGTACATGAATTACAAATTCGGCCGAGAATGGTTATCCCATAGCACCTTATCTTCAAACAAGGGTAAGAATATTCGACACAACAACAGTTGACATCTAACTAAATCTCCTATCTGCGGTAAAGGTACTTTGTCCTGGCTCATGTATGGAATCTTAGGTTGGTGGATCCAAGTGAGCTATTCTGGTAAAAACCCAGAAAGAGACCTTCTGTGGAACGAGGTACCAGATGGATTGATGCAGACGACCAGGACTCGTGCATAAGTGCTGCTTCTATCAAGACTTCCATCCAATTAGATATGATTGTCAAGCGCCTGGGGTAGCTTGATACCCTTGTTTTTCAGAGACGGGTGACAGTAGCCATTCATTCTCAATATAGAAAACCTCGACTTCGACTTTGATTTCTCATTTCTATTTCTTTCATGAAACTTATTCATTCATGATCCAAAAATTCCAGCATCTAACTTGGTACTCACATTACGGAAATTCGTCAAAATATTTCAATCTTTTTGGAGAGTCGAACTCAATTCCTTAGGATTCTCCTGATCGATCAATTGATCTTTCGAGAAAAAAAAAAGAAGCACGGTAGACAAATCTATTTCCCTCTCAAGCCCCTGTTCAAACGTCTAGATAAGATCGGATATTTTTGCAACACCATTCATCGCTTCTTTAATGCTTCTGGGGTTACTTGCAACAGCATCCGTCTCAACTCAATCAGCAAAGTTTTACTATACCAGCTCAATTGATATCTTCTCATCCTTCGTACCATACGAAACCATAGCCTGCTTCTGATTATCAAAATATTGGATCGGTCTGATACCGTCTTATACCTTGCGAAACGCACTGTTACATCCCATCTACTCATACTTGATCAAAAAGCTCGGATGGCATTTCTCGAAATACGGTGACTTTCGTACCTATCAACGGGATCGTTCCTTGAATTTCATATTGAATAGGAAATTGAAAAGGAAAATCAGATATTATCGTACAGTCTTACTGGGATCTTTCAAGGAAAACCTGTCATCCGAATTCTTAGATCTGCGCCCGCAACAAACGGCTGTACGAGCGTTGGTTTCGAACCTAATAAGACTTTCTCACAACATACCTATCCCGTCATTGAAAGGAACAAGTGACTAGTGCGGTAGGCCCAACGAGCAACCTTTATTACTCAAGGCTTGCCCACAAACCCTAGCTTTTGTCTTCTCCTTCCTCGGCGTTGTAGAAGAACAAGACTTCCCTCTCCAAACTTTCTACACAAGCTTTCCAAGCTTTTGGCTGCTGGCTCAGATCATTCTTTTCTTGTTATGAACATTCATTTTTTACATATTCTTTTTGGAAAATACGATATTTAATATTTCTACGTGGGATCGGAAAGTTTGGTTCCTTCTGTCAATCATAAAAAGATCAACGGGTTCACTCAACTTTCTTCATCGATCTTGTCGCTGGACGACCTTTAATTTTTGGGATATTTGGAAATAGAGAAGATGGGGGCTGTACAGTTTTTGAAGGAGCAGACTCGGGGAACTAAGTTGCTATTTAATTTCCTCTTTCATGGTTTTCACATTGGCCTGTTTGCTTTTGGATGGTGAGTCGGCTTTCAATATATCTTTTATCTCCTGCTAATAAGTCATACAGGTGGAAGCAAGCCAGTGACCCTAGACTCTCGGGATTAAATTCTCTTACATTCTCAGTATGGATATCGAGAGGTGCCGGTCTGGTGTTGTCTGTAGATGTTGCATTGATCTTATTACCCATGTGTCGCAATATCTTGAGGTACATTAGACCAAAGATCAAATTCTTACCACTTGATGAGTCTCAATGGTTTCATCGACAAGTAGCATACTCGTTATTATTCTGGACCATATTTCACGTAGCTGCTCACTATGTGAAGTAAGTACAACAAAATCCTATTCCTATTCAGATATTAACATTCGGGCAGCTTCTTCAACGTCGAAAAGACTCAAATCAGACCTGTGACCGCTATCCAAATTCACTATACCGAAGCTGGTGGTATCACAGGTCATATTATGTTACTGTGCATGATGTTGATGTATACTACTGCCCATGCTAAGATTAGACAACAATCTTTCGAAACGTTTTGGTACACGCATCATTTGTTTATTCCATTCTTGCTTGGAATGTACACACACGCTACGGGATGTTTCGTCCGTGATACTGCAGAACCATTCTCTCCATTTGATGGTGAGAACTTCTGGGGGCATTGCCTAGGCTATGAAGGATGGCGATGGGAGCTTTGGGGTGGTGGACTTTACTTCCTTGAGCGTGTGTATCGCGAGATCAGAAGTAGGAGAGAAACTCAAATTGTTAGAGTCGTTCGTCATCCATACGGTATGTTACACCCTATCCATCATTATTCGAAACTAACAAGTTACAGATGCTATGGAAATTCAATTCCGAAAGCCATCGATGAAGTACAAGGCAGGACAATGGCTTTTCCTTAACGTGCCATCTGTTTCTCGTGAACAGTGGCATCCATTCACCATCACATCATGTCCGTTCGACCCCTACATCTCTATTCACATCCGTCAAGTCGGTGACTTTACCCGAACCCTCGGAGACGCCCTCGGAGCGGGTGCTGCACAAGCGAAACTCTACGACGGTGTCGATCCCAATGGTATGTACGAAGTAGCCCTCGAAAACGGTCAAAAAATGCCCGACATCCGCATAGATGGTCCCTACGGTGCTCCCGCCGAGGATGTCTTCGAAAACGAAGTCGCAGTCCTCATCGGCACAGGTATCGGTGTGACACCATGGGCATCCATCCTCAAAAATATTTGGCATCTTCGTCACGGAACAAATCCTCCCGAACGTCTTCGTCGAGTAGAATTCATTTGGGTTTGTAAAGATACCACATCCTTCGAATGGTTCCAAGTCCTTCTTTCATCTCTGGAAGCACAATCTCAAGAAGCAGCATCACAACCCGGTAATGATGGACAAGAATTTTTACGTATCCATACTTATTTGACCCAAAAATTGGATATCGATACGGCGCAAAATATCGTATTGAATAGTGTTGGTGCGGATGTCGATCCATTGACTGAATTGAAATCGAGGACGAATTTCGGAAGACCGGATTTTACAAAATTGTTTGAGGGAATGAGGGATGGAATCATGGATAAAACTTATATGTCTGGTTTGGAGGGAGATTTCAAAACTAATATTGGGGTTTACTTTTGTGGTATGTTTTATCCTGTTGTGTTTTTGTTTTATATTCCTCTTCATACCCCTTTCCGATACATTCTTAATTTGAACATCGATACTAACATTCTAAATAGGACCAAATGTAGCAGCCCGCTCCATCAAAAAAGCATGTAAGAATGCCACGACTCGCGATGTCAATTTCTCGTTTTGGAAAGAACATTTCTAGAGTTTTGATTGGGATCGTTAAGAAGACAGGTGGATGTTAGTCGAAGAGATGTTAAAATTCTCGCGAATTATTTTGGGATATTACGAATGGGAATGGAAATTGGGAGCCGGCGCGAATCTTGGATACGATATGACTCATTTGTTACTACTTATTGATATGATGGATGACTGGATGGATGGGTGTAGATAGCAAACTTTTGAATGAATAATTGAGAATAATACTATCTACGACAGACAATTTTTCAGATGCTCTTGCAGCGTAAGATGTGATGGTGATGGGATCTGAGAATGTGTGTGAACCGGCATCCCGATATGAGGTCGTTGCAAATTTTCTGGAAATCTTGGAGTAGTCGTTTTGCTCTCTAATTCTGTAAGTGTTCAATCTATGTGCCTAGAATTCTTTCGAAGTATCTTCTCCACCGAGACAATCTCCAGAAATCCTATATCTCTTTAATAATGCAGTCGCCCATATAGCCTAGTCTAGTCTGTGTAACACAAATACAAACATACACTATGACGCCTAGATTCTCGCTAATAGCACATCTTTCCTATCCATTCATAATCAAACTACAACTCCTCCTTCCCTTCCCCTGCCTAAATCTTACTCCTCCCCTCTTTCCCATTCTTCTCAACCTTCACAACAACCTTCCCCCATGTTCCCCTCCCCCCTAAACTCTCCAATGCTCCTGGAACATCCTCCAACCCCACAAACTCCTTATCCCTAAAGACCGTTCCCCTGAATTTTCCCTCTTTGATCAATTTAAAAATGCCCTCCCATACCTCATGGATCTTTTCCGGTTCGTTCTGCACATATGCTCCCCAGTGTAATCCCACTATACTTATATTTTTCAACAACACCTTGTTCATCGCCACTTTCTCGATATTTCCCGCTGCAAACCCAATAACAAGGAGTCGTCCATTCCAGCGTATACATTTTGTCGATTTGTCGATCAGACCCACTGGATCAAATACGATATCTACACCTCTGTTATTTGGTGTGAGTTTCTTAACTTGATCAGGCCAAGAAGCATCGCCGTAATCGATAACATGATCAGCACCGAATTCTCGCGCTACCTCCAACTTTCGCTTCGTGCCAGCAGTAGCTATAACAGTTGCACCGAATGCCTTTGCGATCTGCACGGCTGCTAGACCGACTCCACCGGCAGCAGCGTGAATAAGAACATAGTCTCCAGATTTTATATTCGCGCGTGTGACGAGAGCGCCGTAGGATGTGGGAGCGGTGACGAAGAGACCGGCTGCTTCGAAGAAAGACCAGGAGTCGGGGACGGGGTAGAGAGAAGCTTCTTGGGCGCAGACGAGAGTTGCATAGCCGCCTTGAGAGGCGCCGAAGACACGGTCTCCGACTTTGTATTTGGGAGATGAGGAGGAGGAGGGCGTGGAGAGAATGGTGCCGCTGAATTCTGAGCCGGAAATCCCTAGGTTGGGGGTTAGTAAACAGTTGGGGAATTGAGATAGGAGATTGGAAAGGATGGGCAATTGCGACTTTTGAATTGGTCTACGGATAGACAAATAAAATAGAGGTCTTACAAGGTAGAGGAGGTTGGTGTTGATATTTCCCGCGAATTTGGAGCAGGTCGTAGAAATTGGTAGCGGTGGCATGAATTTCAATCAAGTATTGATCGGGGTTTGGTACTGGATCTGGTAAATCCGTGACTTTAAGATCTTGAGGCCCCTATGTTGTAAGGATTGATTAGTATGCAACATAAATATATATATATATATCGAAGGAGACAGGAGATGAAAGCTTGTGAGCTCCCTCTGAAAGCTTACTTTAACATATTCTTTGATTTGAATTCCACGCATCTTGTAGATTGTTTTTCGGGTGATAGATGTGGTTTTGTTTGTTCGAAATAAGTTATTTCCCGGATTGAATAAATATAATACAATACAGCAGTTTGAAACAGGAGAGAGAGAAGTGATTTGTATGTAGGAGGAGTATTGAAGTGAGTAAGCTATGAGATTGAAGGATCCCCGGATTCTATAAACGCGGGGACCGAGCCGAGGTCCAACTAAAAATTAATGGCTCGGTCGGTACCTTACCTGGCCTAGTTGAAAGTCTATCAAGAAGGCTTGCTTTCTGCCCGGTAGTACCAGTAGTATTGAGAAGGCAGATTTCAATTCCTTAATGCCATTGCAAGAATGATTTAAGTGAACCTCCTACCTCAGCCTCTCTTATCTTACCTGGCCAGTACTCGCCTATGATGTGCCAAATTGTGTTTCTAACTCACCTCACCGGGAGTCCGGATGTTGAATTCAACGAGAAACAAACCTCATTGGCGATGAATACGGGATATTAAGTTGAAGGTCCAAACAGAGGCAACAATATGTAGAATCTGCGAAGGAAGATATTACTGATAAGTAGATATGTAGTTGTTTCATTTAGCTTCTCTTCATGTCATACTTTCTGCTCGATAAAGGAAAGGGGTTAGGCGGAACTCTACTTACTAGACACTGGTACTTAGATCTCGCGCTGGGCCGGCCCTTGCATGACTGTGCCTTATGGCCCTGGAAGTTACTTTGATAATGCCTAGATAGTAATCAGAAGCCAAAAGATTTCAATGGAAGATATTATTATCAGTCATCAGTCAATCAGTCACCAGTCACACAACATATCTACCCAGGTGTATGAGGGTACATATACTTTTAGACGATGTAGAGCTAACGATAAGTAATGAATTATATCGTAAATGAAACCATTTGAATTTGTCTTTTTAAGGAAAAAACAATCTATTACCACATTTCTCTATCTTCATCTCTATTTCTCTTCCTCTTTCTCACAATCATCCTTCCTCTCAAAATTTCCCGGGGACAGCCATCTTTGAACTATCGAACGTCATCTGAGCCATAGCCACACCCCTCAACGCCTCACTTAATATTTGCCTATGATAATACACACATCAAACCACCTTTACTATCAATCCAACAAACAAACCCCAACCATACCTACCTGACTCTTTCAGATATCTGGATTCAATTCAATCTCCATCAGTCAATTCATAAAGCCATCAAATCTATTAAGATGTCAGACGAGACACCAACTGCGCCCGAGGGCGATTCTCAGATCACCTTCAAGGTCAAAACATCCTCTGATGGAAATCACACAATCACCATGGCAGAGACCGCAACAGTTCTCGACCTGAAGACAAAGCTAGCTGGAGATGATTACGAAAAGATTCCAGTAGATCGTCAACGATTAATCTACTCCGGTCGCGTTATGAAGAATGAGGAACCTTTAAGCACTTATAAGATCAAACCTAACAATACGATACATATGGTCAAGAGCGCACAAAGCAACGTTGCCAATGCTGCTGCCAATGCCGCAACTGGTGCTGCAGCAAGTCTCCCAACCAATATGGCTGCCGGAACTGCGAATAATCCTCTTGCTGGTTTAACCGGTGCTCGATATGCAGGCCATATGGGTCTTCCAGGTGCTGAAATGTTCGGCGCAGATGGTGGTGTACGTATGCCCATTTCTGAGAGCAATCTTTCTATACTAACATTTTCACAGATGGGTGCGCCACCAAGTGAAGATGCGCTCGCTCAAATGATGGATGATCCCAATATTCGTCAAACGATGAACGAAGCTCTCAATAACCCGGACCTTGTCAATATGATGATCCAAAATACTCCAATGCTCAGAGATATGCCCAACGCGCGCGAGATATTACAATCACCTATGTTTAGAAACATGCTTACGGATCCAAACTCCATTCGACAAGCTGCTGCGATGAGAAGACAAATGGGAGGTGGAGGGGCTGGCGGCTTTCCCGCGCCGGGCGTCACTGATACTACACCTGCTGGAGCAGCAGGGAGCACACCAGGAAGTGGTCAACCAAGCGTACCACCTTTTAATATGTTTGGAATGCCTGCTGCAGGAGGTGCTAATAATCCATTCGCGTCATTGTTCGGTGGACCAGGAGCAGCAGCCGCGGGTCATACTCCAGCCCAAACTCCTCCGCCTCCAGCTTCTGCTGGGGGAACCCCATCAACTGGTACTGATGCTAATCCACCAAATCCCTTTGCCTCGCTATTTGGGGGAGCGGGTGCTGGAGCCGGAGCCGGAGCCGGAGCAGCTGGAGCGGGATTCAACCCCTTTCAAGGAATGCCACAACCCACACCTGAACAATTACAACAAGCAATGCAAATGATGCAAAATGGAACATTCGGAGATATGTTTGGTCCTGGTGGATTTGGCGGTATGGGCGGAATGGGTGGTGCGGCCCCAAGTGCACCTGCAGCTCCAGCAGACACCAGACCACCTGAAGAAGTTTACGCCGATCAACTCAGGCAATTAAACGATATGGGATTCTTTGACTTTGACAGAAATGTGGCAGCTCTGAGAAGAAGTGGAGGAAGTGTTCAGGGAGCCATTGAACAATTGTTAAGCTAGATTTCTGGGTATTTTCTTGCTTTTTACATGTTTCTTTGGGCGGAGGGGCAAAGTGTTGATATCACGGATAAATGAATTTATGGGGAATTCTCCCGAAGATTGATTCACTCTTCTTACATTTTCATGAGTAATTTTTATTTCCAAGATTTGCTTGCGTTGCTGAACCGGGTTGAACTAAGCTAAGCGCTTTACATCGGGTGTTGGGAGTCAATTAAATCAGTTATGAATACCTATTTTGAGATAATGTGATTAATGATATGTGACTGATGTGCTGTATTCAGCTGTGCAGATGAAGTATGGAAGTATGGAATTGGGGTATAGGTGGAGTATTCTAGCAACGTGGGAGAAATTCGACGGGTGTTTGTATGCTTACATTCACCTAGGCGAGGAAGATGTTTTATTTGTTCACTTGGATCTTCGGTCTTCTTCCTGATACTTTGCACGTCAGGCTTAGACATAAAGTCCCTTGGAATTGGCGAGTGATCAATAGGATGATTTGCGAGTCTTCTTGTGAATCCAATCCAGAGCCTAGAGTGGTCGGAAGAGTCATGATATAGGTTTGATTGAGTATGACGAGTAGGGTACCTAGGTTATCATACTTGAGGGCCTTGGGATCATTTTGATTCTCTTTCAGCTATTTACTTTTGGTGTATGAGTGACGTGTAATTGTGGGCTTGTGCATAGGCTATGGGGTATGGGGTATGGTTTTGAGGCAGTGCATTGGGTGGTGATTGTGGATGGGGGGGCTTATGAAGATGAGTGTGATTCGTTGGATCTGGGGTCTGAGATGGGAGTTGGGAGTTGAGATTTTGTTTGCAGAGAATAGGGAATAGGGAAGTCTCAGCTGGGCTGTGTAGGGAGGGTTGTTTGGAAGTGGGAGTGAGGTTGTTTGTAGAGTTTAGGGGTGAGAAAATAGAGGAGGGGAGAGGGAAGGGGAAGAGGAAGAGGAACAGGCAGAAGGAGTTGAATTGAGATAATACTAGGTAGATGATGTGTACTCTCTTGGGTTGAGAATCGAGTTATCTCATGTCTTATAGAATGGCGAGCTCAGAAACTAGAGATTACTTAATGACTAAGTGTTATGGATGTTACTAGGTGAAAATGCCACATGTATATCTTGAAGCTATATCAACCCCTCTAGATTGATATATCATATTCCATGAACGATGAAAGGGACTTCACGAAATGACTAGAAGAAGTAGAGGAACCTGACATCCAGCTTAACTTACTAATGGAGAAATGCTTGATGGATACAGAGGTACCTGTGCAGGATAACTCTTTTTTCACACGAAGGGAATCATTACTCAGAAATTTGTTTGCACTTGTTGAGCTGAATAGATGATTTACTTCTAGCCAGATCAAGTCTCACTGCACTGCCAATGAAAGTCCGTTCACTAGTTCAATATGTAGTCAGTTTGATAGTGTAACCGAACATCCGACTGTTGTTCAAACACTCACCTATAAATTCACACATACACAAATCAACAGCTAGCCAACAATTAGCAACCTAAAAGTATTACATGATCGAATTGGTTGTCAAAAGAATAAATCAAATCGGCTTTCCTTTTCTCTTGTCGGAAAGTTGTACTTGAATCCATCTCCTGTAACCTTAAAGCAAGCCATGGCCTACGATTTGATCACACGTCATCCATTTAAGGGAATCTGGGCTCTAGGTGCCATCACAGTAAACGCTGTCAAGTTGCCTATCTGGATCTTTTATTATTCATTCTCATCGAATCGACAGCATCCAAAATGGAGCTTCAAGCAAGCCGTAGCCGCTGTCGCACTGAAAACTGCCGTTTGGCATACATCCATGGTACAGGTCTCCACGCCTTTGATTATAAAGGCAGAGGGTGAAGAAGAAGGGTTTCTTGTTCCAATCAAGCCATCTTCCATATCAGGAGTTTACAAGGGAATCTGTGATGATAAGGAAATAAAACCTGCAACGATTTGTGGCTATTGGTATCCCTCGCCTTACAACGCCGATGAGGATAAAACCAAGAAGATTGTACTTCATTTTCATGGTGGAGCTTTTGTCACTGGTGACTGTCGGCCTAAAAAATCTGGGTATGCGGCCGATCTTCTCACTCAGCACATCGGGAAGACGTTAATGGTCTCTTATCGACTTTCTTCGAACCCTGACGGTCGCTTTCCTGCCGCGCTTCAAGATGCTGTCACAGCTCTCCACTATCTCCAAGATCTAGGGATTGAACACTCCAACATTATCGTCGGTGGAGATTCGGCAGGTGGCAATATTGTTGCGGCATTGTTGAGGTATCTTGCTGTTACAGATGCGCCTGGTCCTGCAGCGGCACTTTTGTGGTCTCCCTGGATTGATCTTGCAAGGACTCTTACTCCAGAAGTGTTGTATGAATCTCCACACAGATTTACAGATTACATTCCTGCCAATTTCGCGATCTGGGGAGCCAATTCCTATTGTCCCAAGAATGGTCCAGTCAGCATGGACTCTGAATGGATCAGTCCTGCAAAACATCCATTCTATACAAAGACACCAATGTGGATCCAAGGCAATGGGCAAGAGGTTTTGCTTGAACAAGTCAAGGACTTTTCAGACGGAATGAAGGGTATAGAAGGTAACAAGATTGCTTTTCATAGTGAGGAAATTGCGAGTCATGATATTTTGCTGGTTGGAAATATTACTGGATTCGAAAAGGAAGCAGTCAATTCTGTGAAGGCAGCAGCTGAATGGCTGAACCAACTATGATTATGTATCGTATGGATAGGGATTGCACTTCTCCAGTACGAAATGTAACATAACCATATGTTTAATATCAACGATATACTTATATCGCTATCTTCAGGTCCTTTCTACGGTATGATGGGAACAACTTCAAAATGTTTGAAACGGATAATCACGAAGGCTACAGGGCTACACATATTGGCGAAGAACTAGGTATTCTCGAAAAGAATGACCTTAAATTTAAGTATAAATTAATCTAACCGCCAGCCCTAGTCCTTCGTTCGAACTTCAAGAGTCAACATATTTTAGATTCATGAATTGTATGACAGTAACATTGATTCCCCATGTACACTTTGTGCGTGAATTAGAAGAATAATGTTTCCACATGTTTTTTTCGAGTCCCTTAAGGTTCAGTATTGTTTTCCACAGTCAGGGAGAAAAGATCTAGAGATTCAATTTGTGAATCAGAGGTAAGAAATTCTCACGCTCTTGGATTTTAGCACCGCATTCATATTTGCAACCTGTCTTGAGGCTGTACAACATATAGCAAGGCATTTCGATGGCTGTCTCTTGCATCAAAATAGACTGAAGGTGGGGGCAGCCTAGCAATACTAGCCAACGAGAAGCGATAAATTGGAGAGACGATTTCCAAGACTTTGACCCACCAGATCCTTCTCATAAGGTTAGCGAATTTCCGATGTGCTTGACCACCATTACCGCCAATCTTTCTTCCTTCGAATGTGCTTGTTTAGTTTGCTATGAATATCTGATTAAATTGACCGCTTCTATGAGATATGTGTTCCAGTTCACAGTCCAAGATTGGCTTCGTTGCCATTTTTCGATAGGAAATGCTAATCACCAGCAGCTCATTATGTCATGGTCATGATGTTCATTTCATCCACTTCTTGACATCATGAGTCTCAGCTCAAGCGCAGATCTAAGATCTTAGATCAGATCTTCAACCACCCGTGCCAGCCCGGTAAAGCGCTTCGATTTATATAGCTCCTTTGTATTTACGAATTTGATTCCATATACTCTAGGTACCCAGGCCGGCATGCTCAGAATAGCCGCCTTTTTGAGAAGGCAATGAAGCATATCACCATTTATAGTCCCCACTAAGGTCAGCTTCTAGGCTCATTTGATCTCCTTCGCGGGCCGGGCCCTTCTTGTTTGTGGGAGATGGGAGGTCCATTAGTTCCTGTATATGTTAGAAATGAGTCCGTAAGTATAGTGATCTAGTTTGCCAAGGCAGATGAATTATAAGTGCAAAAATTCCTATCGGACGTTGTTTCAATTTCCTTTACAACTAGATGCATATAAGTGTGTCATTATATTCATTACACTGCCATTCCTTCCTTCTCTTGGCTCTTTAATTTAGTGGGCTTTTTGTTGGGTCCTTCGTTCTTTCTTGCTGCTACCTTTTGGGGATTGATATTTTATTGCTAGTTTCGCGGATCGCTCACGATTATCAGTAGCTACAGTACTAGGGCACAGCTGTTCGTCGGCCGGATTTTACCCGGGAATCCACTAACACCACCCCCTTATTCAATCCTAATTATTAAATCAATTCTTCAATATTTTATTATTAAATTTTCAGAATCTCTTGATATATATATATTTAATAATATTACTAATTTATATAATGATTCTATAGTTTAAGCTCTCAATATTTAGTATACTAGTTATTTGCTATAATACAAGTTTTTATTCTATTCCTTATACTAGTTCCCAAATTTATAAATAATTGATTATCTAATATATCCCAAACTACTTATAATACACTCTCTAACCTTTATCTAATATATTCTGATTTACTTTTGTTTATTACAATATCCAAAAATATTTCAAAAATATATACTTTTAGATACCACTAAATATACTTAATAAAATTAAGATTAAAATTATAAGAAAATTAAAAATCAACTAAAGAAATACCCCTAGCTTTAAATTAATCTAATATTTTAATTGCTCAATATATAAAAGCATTATCCTATATAAATTAATATCTCTTATCTAATCCCTTCCAAATAAAAGCTATTTCTTTATTAAGAACTTTGAAATAAAAATTAATATTATATTCAAACTTCTTATTCTCGAAATTCCTATTCATAATATATAATTTGTTTTTTCTAATATTACAAAAGTCTTCCTATATTATAATCTTTATATTTTTATATATACTATAGATTTGAATTATTTCCTGTTTTCATTTCTATCTTAAAGTATAGAAAACCTATTCCTACTTTTTTCCTTTTCCTTGCTTTATAGAGTATTTATTCAATTAGAATATTAGGTTTTATTTCTTTACTATTTATCTCCGATAAACTAAATATTAAGTTAATCTTTTAATAATATATTCTTTTATAAGTTCAGACCTTTTTCTAACTCTCTAATTAATTATACTATATTTTTTGAAAATCCTTTTAATAATATTCCTTTTATATTCAAGTTTATAAACTATTTGTTACGAAGGTACCCGCATTGCAATATGGATTATAATATAAATATAAGCCCTTAGTGTTGTAACCTATAAAAACGATATTATAGGAACTATAGGATATAAGAATAATCAGAAAAATAGTAATCAAGTAAATCAATAATAATTAGAATAAGATAGATATCTATCTTATTTCGATAATTATTTTATAATAGGTATAGAATAAATAATAGTTATAGATTAGCTAATAAGTATAAATTAGATAAGTGGTAGTATTGTTGTAAGTCACAAAATGGATATTATATAATTAGAAAACCGATTTGTCGAAATCGGTTTTACAAAAATCAATTTATCGATTTGAAGAATATGAAAATCTATATAAAGGAATAGGGTTTATTATAATATAAAGCTTTATATTTAAGAATAATTATTAGTTTTATTATTATAATTATAAGAATTGTAATTAGTTATAATCTTATTGAATTCCTATTTGAAGTTTAGTTTAAATTATTTTAAGAAATCTTTAAACATTTCCATATAATTCTAGAGGCAGTTTCTGTAATATTTTGAGCATTTTTTTTATTTCAAATATTAATTTAATAAATTATTACTAAATATAGTATTCAGAAATGTTATTATAAATTAATTTATATTAGTAGTAAATATTATTAATATTAAAATAGCTAATACTTTAAAGAAGATTATTATTAATAAAACCCTTAAGATAGTTTTATTAAATAAATATTAAGATAGTTGATAGAAATTTGATATTTTTCTTTTATAATTAGAAATTTATTTCAGATTTAATAAAGATAAGTTTATAGTTATAGAATTTAAGAATATATAAATTGCATTCTATCTTTAAGGAGAAATAATCAAATAGATTTAATTATATTTATAAAATTATTTCAAATATAGTAATTAAAATTGTATATAATTTATATAAACAATCTTTAATAGTTTTAAAGAATTTAAAATAAAGATTTATAGAATCTTTAGGAACTCTAATAAATTAAAGGTAATAGAAAATAAAATCTTCAATTTTAAGTAGATAGAATTAGTATTAAAGTATACTATAGAATTCCGAAGATATATAAAAATAATCAAATGGGATAATATTATTATTATAAATTATTATTATAAAGAATTCAAATCAGAAGTTAAATTAGAATTAAAAAGATTTGTTGAGAATATAAATTTGAATAATCTAATTCAGGATTTTATTGAATTAGATAATTGTTTTTACAGATATAAATATAGTCAAAGATTATATAAACCTTAAGGAAATCAAAAGTAAAAATATTATTGTAAAAATAAGGGTAAACTATATTATAATTTATAGAGATATAAGGATCTTATAAAATTAGATACTATATATTAAATATTTAGAAATAATGATTAGAAAAAGAAATGAAGATAAGAAAATAACTTATACTTTGAATATAGAAAAGCAGGGCATTGAGTAGTAGAATATTGAAATAAGAAAACAAAAGGTAAGAGGGGTAATTTTAAGAATAAGTTTGGTAAGGGCCAATTTAATATCATTTTTATATTACAATTATATATTGCTAGTATAATAGGATTAGTTATATCACTAGTTTATAAAAAGAAGCTTAAAGAAGAAAAGGTTAAGTATTTCTTATAAATAAACAAAGACCTACAGTTAAGAGAATTATAATTTATTTAAGAAATTGATTAATAGAATTATTATATCTGGAAATTTGAAGATATAGATAAAGGAATTATTAATAAAAATCTCAATATAATAAATACTAAGGAAGGAGAAGTATATAAGGTGAGATATATCAATTAATATTGAATCCTATAATTTAGGATTATTATAAATATATTCTTTATAAAGAGAATCAATATAAAACATTTCCAATAACTAAATAAAGGAAAGTTATAGAAAATATTCTATTAATATATAGTTAAATAGAATGAAAATCAGAATTTGTTTTTATATAGAAAAGTCGGGGAAGAATATTGTATTTAAATTTAGACTATATTATTATTATTAATTATAAATATAATAATAAAAGTTATTTAGGGAATCTATTAATATATTCTATAGAAAAACTTATTTAATAATAAAACGAAATCAGAAATAAGCATTATATATCTAAAAGAAAAGGAATTTTAATAAGTAATATTTATTAATAAAATTACTTAGAATAATAGAAATAAGCAAATTACATTATAACTAAATATTATAGAATAGGTAGAACAAATCTATTATAAAATCAAAATAAATAAATAAATATAAACTATTATAATAGATTCAAAAACTATAAGAAATTTTATTATATTAAAAACTATAAAGTATTTAGGAATTCTATTTTAATAGAAATAGAAATCCTATTAATTATAATTAATTAATAAATAACTAATAGAATTTAATAGAAATGTTTTATAAAAAATATAATTAGTATAAATAAGTATAACCTAATATTCAAAGATTATATAACTTAATATTATATTACTAAACTAATAATAGATTATCTTAGGAATATTATAATTAAAGATATATAATTTTATAATAAATTGATTATTAGAAATAATAATATTTAATTAATATAAAAACAAT